CCCTGTGCCCTCTCTTATTGTACTGACTACCATCTAAATGCTAATGATTCCCGACTCTGTGTCTCTAGACCCATAGTTTGGGTTTCCATTGGACGTATCCACTGTAGATGTATTTCCCAGCTCCAACTTCCCCTTCATTCCTGCTGCCGCTGCCTGGATTCCGGTTAGCATCGTGCTCATGTGTCATTTGCACCACCTCTGATCTCTTTCTCTCTCGTGTTCTTTCCTATCCAATCTACGCTGCATGTTGTACTGTTTACTTCTTAAAAGCAAGAGGATCTTACCACCCCCATCCTTACATGACAGGCAATGCCTTTTTTATGCAAAGTCCCCACTTCCTACCTTGCATACAAAGCCTTTTGTGACCTGCTCTTCACCTGTCCCTCTCAGCCCCTCTCCTGCTCACTGCTGACACACAGCCTTCACCTTCACCACATGGACCCTTTCAGCAGACATGCCAGGGCTTTCCACTCCGGGGACTTTGCACCTGCCTGCTTCTCTGTGCAGTGCGCCTCCTCAGGATCTTTCCCCAGAAAGTTCTTACTCGTCCTTTGTGACTCAGAGGACAAGATGGAAAATGTGGGCAGAATGATTGCGGTAGATGGATGGGAGAGGCAGGGATTCCCCGGTGATTCTCAGTGAATCTTGGTGAAGATCGGCCTTTGCTGACCGGCCCCATTAAGTTTTATTTCTCTGTCCACTGTATCTCCACAACTCTTTGTTCATATAGTTCATAAAGCACTTACTCCTTTAGTGTATGAGTTCAAATGCATGTTTTTCACCTCGTCATGAACATTTATGAGTTTTGTGGCCACCCAGGACCTTTCACATCCTTCCTGCGTCCGGAAAATTCTCTGTTTTACAAACCCCCACATCTTATCTCAGGAGGGACGGCCTCAATGTCCCCGGCTCCCTTGCAGCTAGGGCACAGCACGTGACCCAGACCACCAACCACACATGAGCATTCAGAAGCTAGTGCTGCAAAGCTGTGAGCACTGGGGGAATCCATTCTGGCAAAGGTGGCTTGTATCTTCCGGAGTCTCAGAGGGAGTGGCAGCCAAAGATCCTGATGGGAGCCTCTGAGGTCGTCAGTTAAAGCTGCATGTCTGTGTAGACAGGAGAACCAGTTCTGCAAAGCATTTTGGGGTGTGATTTCTAGCTGTGTAGCTTCCCAGAAATTTTGTGATTTCACGAATATTCTTTAATAAGTCTATTTTCTGCTTAAAGTAGCCAGACTTAGCTTCTGATTTTTGCAACTAGGAAATTTGACCTTTCAGTCTGAAAAACCTGCAAGAGCAGGGTCCACTGTTTGTTTATTTCTTCATTCCTCCCTCGCAGCACCCAGCACCGAGTAGCTTTCGTGTACGTGTTTCTTGAACAAACACTTGCTTTCCCTGGGAGGAGGTTGCTTTTCCACAGTGCATGACTTTAATAGCTACAGGCTGGAGTTTCAGAGCTGAGAGCTTATGTTACTGGCCTCAAATACCTGGGTTCTGTAACCTTTTTCAAGGAGCTCAGAACTTCTCAAAGTGGAATGTTAAGATGACATTGACTTTCTTTTTCTTTTATCTTTTTTATTTTATTTATTTATTTATTTATTTATTTTTTTTTTTTTTTAATTTTTTTTTCAACATTTATTTATTTTTGGGACAGAGAGAGACAGAGCATGAATGGGGGAGGGGCAGAGAGAGAGGGAGACACAGAATCGGAAACAGGCTCCAGGCTCTGAGCCATCAGCCCAGAGCCTGACACGGGGCTCGAACTCCCGGACCGCGAGATCGTGACCTGGCTGAAGTCGGACGCTTAACCGACTGCGCCACCCAGGCGCCCCTCTTTTATCTTTTTTAAAATGTTTATTTATTTTTGAGAGACAGAGGGTGAGCAGGGGAGGGACAGAGAGAGAGGGAGACACAGAATCCAAAGCAGGCTCCAGGCTCTGAGCTGTCAGCACAGAGCCCAACCTGGGCTCGAGCCCATGAACCATGAGATCATGACTTGAGCTGAAGTCAGACGTTTAACCGACTGAGCCACCCAGGCGCCCCAAGATGACTTTGATTTTCATGTTGAATTTCCTTTTCTCTTAACTCTCCCACAAAGCTCCTTGTCTTGGAATGTAATGTGATTTCATTCTTTCAACTCCAATGTGTTCCTGCGTTCTCTTTATTTCTTCCCCACACAGATCAAAGGAAGAATGGAATGAATTTCCCTGCCCGAAACGCGGAACCATTTTTCAGGGATAATGTGTGTCATCTTCTTACAAGGCCCTGGAAATAAGTTTATGTGTGTGATAGGGTTCCTAGGCCAGCAGGAGAGCAGAACGCTGGAGGCCTTCACTTTCATAAGGCATTGGGTAGCGTCTCATTTTATTTCCTTGGGGACAAGATACAAAATGTGGACTGAATGACAATGCATTTGGTGCATGGTGGAGGCAGAGCTTGCTAGCTGTCCACCAAATTCCCATCTTCGCCATGGGAACAGGAGCAGAGTGGGTCATGGGTGCCCAGCTGCCCTGCATTTCCCACCTTCCTTACTGTATGGTGTACCGTGCATCTACATTTTCTCCACTGGCATGTGAGCAGACGTGACGCCTGCCCCTTCCAGGCCCGGCCCATAAACCTCTCCCACGTGCTCATCCAAGCTCGTCCCCTCCCCGCTGGCTGGAATGGTGACGAGCACAACAACAGAAGTCACATGCTGAAGACAGGAGAGCTTCCCTCAGCCTAGGTCCCTGACTAATGGCAGGAGGATGGCCTCCTGCCAAAGTGGAGCCTCTTCATACCATTACATGAGAGAGAAATAAACTGTGTATCTGCGAAGCCGCTGAGTTGTTGTGTGGTCTCTGAATACTGAATGCACTTTCTTCCAGTGCCCTGGGATAGCTGGTTGAACAGCCATATCCAAAGAATAGTAGCCAATGCATCAACATCAGCTTGGAAGGAGAACACCGGTGATGTGCCACAGGGCTCTGTCCCGGATGCTGACGCGGGTTATTTTAGGTAACAATTCAGATAAAGCTGTGGAAGCCACACTTACCATATTTAAAGATGACACAATACGAAGAGGGATAGCTGGTCAAATTAAAAAAAGATCTCAAGAAAGCTAAAAATAACAGGTGATATTTTCTGAACACTTAATGTAAGCCAAGCTCTGGGTTTAATGCTCTCCACACATGATCTTATTTAATGCCTATGATAATCCCACAATGTAGGAACATTATCTCCCTTTCCAAGATGGGAAAACAAACTTTGAGAGATTAAGTACAGAGCTGGTAAATGGGACCGCTGGGATTTGAAACTGGACTCTGTAGCCCTGACCACTATGCTGAGGCAGCCTTGTGTCCAGGCTTGTCGGGGACAGCCCCGGGTATGCCTGCTGTCTCAGTGTGATTATTAATAACGATGGCAGCTCACGTTCACTCCCAAAAGTGCCCGGATTTGGATGGTAAATTATAGGGTCACCTTAGTGATTCTGCCCGGTCTGAAACTGACAAGGTAAGGTTTAAAGAAATCAGTGTAGAGCTCCATCCATCCAACGTTCAAATATCAAAAATGCAATGGGTCTTTGAAATTATGTTCCATTGAGCCAGGAGTGTGATGGGGCTGTACCAATGGCGCTGGAGACTTACAGGTCTTCGTTAGTAGGGGTGCTGAGTCCGGAACAAGGTGCAGATGGTTCTATGGTACTTGGTGCTGGACAGGCCGCATTTCGACTGTTTGAGATGTCTCCAAGGAGCCCTGCTTGCAGAGGGGCCACCACAAACTGGAGCACATCCAGAAGATGATGTACTAGGACAATATCAGGAGACTAAATTATGAGGATTGGGTGGGGACCATCCCAAGGCAGGCTTTGCCTGGAGTCAAGCAGAATTTAGGGACATGTATGCTGTCCTCATATGTCCCAGTGGCTGCCATGTGGGGGAGGGATCAGGCTGATGCCAGGGACTCCAGATGGCAGATCCAGGACTAGGTGGAATGACAAGGAAACAGATTCCAGCTCAATTTCAGGAAGAACTTTCTAACAATCTGAGCTGTCTGACAATATGCCTGCTTCACAGAGGATGGAGCAGCCGGTCCCTGGTCACGTTCAAGCCAAGTCAGAGACATAGTGGTAGCACGTGCCCTGGGAGTGGGGTCAAGTTAGATGACCTCTATGCTTCCTTCTCAGAGTCTGTGCTCCCAAAAACAGGAATAGAAACAGATTGCGGACAGAGACAGGGCATAAGATTTATTCAGGGTGTGAGTAAAGAACCCATCACGGCACGATTTTTTTTTAAAGGCAAGTAGACAGTGCCTTAATCTGTGTTTTGAGTGGCCCCATAGTCCTAACCAGCTCTGAGTTGATAGACCTGCTAAGGCAGACTAGGGGTTGGGATGAAGCTGGTCAGGAACGATACTCTTAGTGGGACCAGGAGTTGGGGATTGTGCCTTAGCCAGACAGAAGACCTCCTACATCTGTAGGGCCCAGAGGAGTTGCAGGGAGGATGTCTGACCAGCCCTTGAGTAGAATAGGGGAGAAAGAAGTAGACCCAGCCTCTTCATATACTAGATTAGAGAGAGCTGAGTGCTTTCTAGTCCCTGCTCTATGCCCACCTCCATACTTACTGGTCCCTAGATTTCTTTTTAATTATTGTAATGTCTATTCACTTCTGAGAGACAGAGAGAGAGCGTGAGCAGCAGTGGGGCAGAGAGAGAGGGAGACACAGAATCTGAAGCAGGCAGCGTAGAGCCTGATGTGGGGCTCAAACCCACAATCTGCGAGATCATGACCTGAGCCGAAGTTGGACGCTTAACCAACCGAGCCATCCAGGCTCCCCCCGCCCCCCCCAACCTCCCCGTCCCTAGATTTCTTACCCAGAGCAAAGAAACTTCTTCATTCAACCACAACTAAGTTCAAGGCACTGTGCTGAGGGCTGAAGGTACAGTGGTGATAGGCCGAATTTGAAATTAGGGTGTTTCTTAGTTGCAAGTAATAACACCACCACCAACACCAAACTTTCAAACTGGCTTCAATATAAAGTGGATTTTTATTGTCCACATAACTGACAGGTCTCCAGGTAGCTCTGGTTTCAGGCAATGCTGATCTAGGGGCTCAAATAATTGGGACCAGGAGACTGTTACTTTCTCCCCATTTCTTCTTCAATGGCTCCATTGCTGGCCAGGCTCTCCCTCCATAAACCTCACCCCACCGGTCCTGGGTGGCTTCCAGTATCCCAGGAGGCTACAGGTCCACTAGGGGAGAAAGGCCAGGATGCATCATTTCCAGCCAGAGCCCCAAGGTTCAGTCTGGTTGAGTCGGCCTAAGTCACATGTCAGCCCTGAGCCAATCACTGTGACTGGGAGAATGGAGGGAGAGGGTGCCGGTTAGTTTAGGCTCCACAGCTGAAGCTGGGCACTGGTCAGCCCCACACAAATCACCTGGCTGAAACAGGGAGGGAGGTTTCCCCCAGGAAATCTGATAAACTGTCGCTCAGAGGAGGGGCTATAAATGCTGGGCTGCAAACAACAGATGCTCCGCAGCCATGGTCCTTAATCTCGGGTGACATGTGAATCCAAGGTGGTATTCCCCATTACAGAGGAGATCCTGGGCTCCAGGAGAGCAATCACCTACCCCAGACAGGAAATTAGGTGGTTAAGGAAGTCTTCCCGAGGAAGCGGCATTTACAAAGACCCTCCCAGTGCAAATAGGCTTTAACTAGGTGGTAAGAGGGAAAGACTGCTGTAGGTAGAGGCCACAAGCATGACTTAAGCCCGTGGGTGAGAGAGCACCACAAGTTCAGGGACTGGGCTCAGTGTGGGGGAGGAAGTGAGGGGTACCGGGAGTCAGGGTGCTTGCTGGGTGCTGTTGCTGTCCAATGTACCCCAGAAAGGAGGCAAGTCTAAACTGAGGGCTGGGAGCTCCATAAGGCTGCAACCGGCAGCGGCACTGGAGGCTGGGCATTCTCTGCACTGGGGGGCAGGCCTGGCTTGTCCTCTCACCGTCCCTGAGGGACAGCCCAGAACCCCGAGGGAGGAGGCCACAGCGTGGGTAAGTGTGGGGGGAGGAGGGCGGAAGCCCATGGCCGTCCAAGCCTTAACTCAGTCTCTGGGTGGCTCCAAGCTAAGTGTCACAGTTTTGTCTAAAGTTGCCTTGAGATGAAATAAACGTTCTATTACAGACCGAGGGAGGCGCTGCACTAATATTTTTCATTGGATCTTGAGGTGTGAAAGAGGATTCTTTGGAGAAAAGGCTTTGATCCCAGCCTGCATGTCAGGATTACCCAGGGAGCAGTGTTAGCAACAGTCCCATGGTATCAGCCTGTGGTGGCAGGGCCCCACCCCTGTGGGTACATACCTCGGTGGTGACAGAGTGGGCTGTGGAGGCAGACAGCCCTGGGTTTAGATCTCAGCTCTTCCTTTTACCGTGTGATCTCCAGTAAGTTTCCTGACTTTGCCAAGCCCTCCTCTGTAAATTGAGGATGATAGTACCTACCTCATGGGATATTCCTAAGAATTAAACGAAATTATGTTTCTAAATTGCCTAGGATATCATAAACCCCCAAAAGGAAAATATTATTCTCACTGTGTTAGAGATGATTTCATCTTTACATACATTCAAATGCCATTCATTCATTCATTCATTCTGGCAATATTTACTGACAATCTCCTAAATCCCAGGCACTGGAAATATAGCTGTGGACAAAACAGACAAAAATCCCTGCCTTCATGGATCTTACTTTCTAGTCAGGAAGATGGACAGGAAAATAAAGTAAAATAAAGGGGAGAGGAGGAGGTATAGGAGAATGTTTTATTTTATTTATCTATTTTTTAAGTTTATTTGTTTACTTTGAGAGAGCAGGAGCACACGCTCATGCAAGCAAATGGGGGAGGGACAGATAGAGAGGGAGAGAGAGAATCCCAAGCAGGCTCTGTGCTGTCAGCGCAGAGGCCGACGTGGGGCTCGAACTCATGAACTGTGAGATCATGACCTGAGCTGAAACCAAGAGTTGGATGCTTAACTGACTGAGCCATCCAGGCACCCCTAGGAGGATGTTTTAGACAGGGGTGGTCAGAAAAAGCCCCACTGAGAAGGTGACAGCTGAGCAGAGACCTGAGGGATGAGAAGGAAGAGGACCATTGTGGGAAGTGCTCGAGGCAGGAGGAACAACCAATGCAAAGAGCAGGAATGCGTTCGGTATGTTCAAGAGAGAGCAAGAAGGCTCCTGTGGCCAGCACAGCATGGGTCAGGTGCGTGGAGGAATAAGGGCGGGAGAACCAGGCAGAGGCCAGGACTTGAAATGCGGATGCTAGTCTGAGACATGATGGGGGGTTTCCTAGCAGAGGCTAGTAAGATACTCTCGCCTACATTTTATAAGGATCGTTCTGGTGGCTATGGGGAAAATTGACTGGGAAGTGTGGTCCAGGTGACTACCAAAGGGTGTTCTTGCGTGGCTTTGTTCTATTCTTGGGATGGGAGGCAACCTCTGAGATGCCCCCAATGATCCCCGCCTCCTGGTATTCACACCCTTGTGTCATCCCCTTGCCTTGAATGTAGCTGGGCCTAATGATTCCCTTCCATCGAATAGAATATGGCAAAAATGACAACATACTACTTATAAGATTAGGGTATAAGAAGACTGTGACTTCTGTCTTGTTCACGCTCTTGTTGGCTTGCTATGCGGTGAGCTCCAAGTGGCAGGGAGCTGAAATCCCCAGATGACAGCCAGGGAGGACCTGAGAGCTGCCAACACCACGTGAGTGATCTTGGAAGTGGGTCCTCTTCCAGCTGAGCCAGGGGGTGACTGCAGCCCTGCCCAGCATCTTCAGTGCCGCCTTGTAGGGACCCTGAGCCAGCCATATGTGGGTGCCCGCCCTACAGTAACTATGAGGCAATAAAAAGATGTTGTTTCAAGTCGCTGCATCTTGGGGTGAGTTGTTACACAGCAACCTATAACTAACACGCTTGGTATGAGTTAGTAAAATACAAACCCAGTGTAGCCAACCCGGAGTGTGAGAATGACAAAGAATCCCTGTGAGTTCTTCCCTCGGATCTGTCATGACTCACCAACCCCCTTCCAATCTTTAATCAATGTCATCGTCTCCTTGAGGGCCTTCTTGGCCACTCTGTAGGAGATGGCAGCCCCCCACCTCCACACTGTCCTGTCACCATCGGACACGCTGTGTACAGTTACTTTGTTTATGCCTGTCTCCCCACCACCCCCCTCCCCGCTGACCTCTAGAATGTAGGGGGCACAAGAGCAGGGCGTTTGGGCTGTTTTGATGACCACTGTATTCCCAGTGCCTAGAATCCCGTATCGCGCCTGGAATGTAGTTTGTGCCCAGAAGGACCTGCTCCCACATGTACTGCTGTGCTCGAGCAGTGAAGGCAGGAACCCAGGACTAAGTTGGCTAGAGACTGTATTATTCTGTCAGCAGCACTCCACTGACACACAGAACAAAGAGCATCAATCAAAGCCAACCGCAGTGTCTGGGAGGCAGTGAGAATTCCAGAACACAGAACACGAGCAGCGAGAGAGGATGTGCAAAAGACGAGGGGATGAAAGGAAAGCAGGACCGGAGGGCAGACATCGCCGCGCTGAACAAAGCCCTCTTCTGCTGTGCGCCGGCCTGGCACGTCGGGGCCCTGGCCGCCTTCCCTGTGGCTGAGTGTAGTCAGTCCTAAGAGTCACTCCACTGGCCAAGTAGGTGTTCCGTGGGGCTGTGGTATCTGGAGCATCTTTGGACGAGCTACTGTGTTCTGTGGTATTTGTTGCCTTGCCTAAGCCCTCTTTCTCCCAATTTCACATAAGAAAAATTGGCTCTTACTTTTTTTTTTTTTTTTGAAATAATGTAGGGGGAGAGGAAAAGAAAGAAGTCAGGTTGGGCAAGTGGAGCATGTCCCCATGGAGAGCCCACCAGGGACCAGAGCTTTAGACTCTTTTTTTTTTTTTTTAATTTTTTTTCAACGTTTTTTATTTATTTTTGGGACAGAGAGAGGCAGAGCATGAACGGGGGAGGGGCAGAGAGAGAGGGAGACACAGAATCGGAAACAGGCTCCAGGCTCTGAGCCATCAGCCCAGAGCCCGACGCGGGGCTCGAACTCACGGACCGCGAGATCGTGACCTGACTGAAGTCGGACGCTTAACCGATTGCGCCACCCAGGTGCCCCACAGAGCTTTAGACTCTTAATCTTTGGCCTTTTGACTGCACGCTGTTAGCTTCCGTTAGGGAATGATCGTGCTGACTTTTCTTCCATTCACAACCGTGGTAAACTTCTCTGTACACTCCTTAAAAACCCAGTTTCCCCATCCCACAGCATCTGTTTCAGGGAAGGCTGCTGCCAGCCTATAAAGTGTGTAAATTCTAGAAGGATACTCCTTCTGTGTGGACACACTCCACTAGCAGACGGCTTAGTGGAAAGCTGTTGTTTTTGTGCAAAGAAAAGGCATCCCTTCTGCTTCCTTGGCTGGGCGTCTTTACACAGTGTATAGACTCGTGTCCATACACACTGGCTGTCTTCAAGTCCTCCCTTGCCCTCATCTACACGGGTGAAGCGTACAGAGGGTAAACCCCCAAACCATCTGAAGGCAGAGGAGGATGTTGAATGGGGTTGTTCACGATGTGCCCTAGAATTTGCATGTCTTGCCAAAGAGAGAGAGAGCACATTCAGTCTGGAAGTAATTCTTGATACCAAGAATTCCACTTCCCACCCCAGCCCGCCATAGAGTCGGCCAAGCAGAGGCAGACAGATGCTGATGATGGAAGAGAAGAGCATGTAGCAAGTAGTGAAAGGAGCCATTTGTGGGTTATAAATAACCAACAGTAGGCATTTTGCAGAACACATTGGAAAAGGCAGGCTCCCTAGACATCGGTGGATATAACCTTTGTTATTTAAAAGCGGAACTTTGAAACACGACTAGCAAGGTGTCGATTACAATTATAAACGAGGGAAAAAAAAATCTGAACTTTGAGTGATGACAGATACAGAGATTGAGAATTCCCTGCAATTAGTAACAAGAGGCTTGATAGGAGAAACGATCGCCTGAACCTGATCCAATAGGAGCCAAGAATTCGGTGGAACGGAAGAAGCAAATCAGCTCCCCGGACCTGGAGAACATAAAATCCGTGGACTCCTCAGTTCCTCACTTCGGATCGAGGGGGAGGTCAGCATCGGAGCCCGGCTACAGTTTCCCCTGCTAACTCTACGGTGAATTGTAGATGGCTCTCATTACATAATGTGAGACTCAGCCATTCTCAATTAACCTTGGTCTTATCTTTATTGAAATCTAAATTAAAGAACACTTCCAAGGACTTGCACAAATGGAATCCGACAGGGAGAAGAGCCTTACCTAACCACTGCTGACGGGATCCTGGTGTCCGGAGCGGGCAGATCAAGTGATACAGCCTCGCTCGGGGAATGCTGCCTTCACTAGGCTTCTCCCAGTCCGGAAGGGCTCCACATCAAAATGACACGGCGTGTGGCTGCTGGCCACGCTGCCTTTCATGCAGCCATGTGTGTGACGGGGCTTCCACTAAGCTGTCGTGGTGCGTACCACCTCATGGCATCAGTAACCCCGCACCTTCCTGCGTGTGCCTTGTGGCTAGCCTCGGGTGTGGAACCAACTTCCCGTGGCAAGTCTGTCTTTGCCTTGTCTCAACCCTCTAGTGTCTGTAGGGATTAGGCGGGGAAGAAGGCAGAGACTATGAAAATTTAAGTAAAATCCATGTGTTTCTAAAAAGGAGAAGCAGAACCAACTTCCAGCAACTTCTCTTCCTACTGATAAAACTTCCTTCCAGTGCCTTGCTGCTACCTCACCCAGTCTGTCAATAATGCCCCCTTCACTCCTGTCCCACAAACCATCCTTGACCACCCAAACCCCTGGCTTTGGCCTGTTTATCTTCAGAGGGTTATATGCCTTCAAATTGTTCTTTTTTAATTAAAATTTTTTTAAATGTTTATTTATTTTTGAGAGAGGGAAAGGGAGACACAGAGCACAAGTCAGGGAGGGGCAGAGAGGGAGGGAGACACGGAATCCCAAGCAGGCTCCAGGCTCTGAGCTGTTAGCACAGAGCCCGATGCAGGGCTTGAACTCATGAACCACGAGATCAGGACCTGAGCTGAAGTCAGACGCTTAACTGACTGAGCCACCCAGGTGCCCCTCAAATTGTTCTTTATCTCCATTCCATTTTCTTATGCTTAAGTGTGGGGAAAGCAATCTGATTAAATTCCAAAACTCTCACCATGGTGATGGGTGAGATTTTATTTCAGTTAGCCATAAGCCCTCTTGTGGCCAGCAGCATGAAACATTTTTATACCTTGTACAATGCCGGGTATGGTATGGCTGCATTATTTTTGTTATTTTACATATTATTGCAAATAATTCCTTTTTTAGACTATAGCTTCTCAGAGTCGTGCTTCTCACTGTCCCTTCCTCCCTTCCTCTCCTCTCTTCTCCCTTCTGAGTGTTTCTTTTTTGAAATAAATTACTCCATATGGTTTTTTTTTCTTGTGACATTTATTCTGCCAGAGAGGGGGTCACTATCACTTTTGACTTCCAGAGGTTCCTAGAATTCCTGCCTCCCCCTACTTTTTTGTTTGTGTTGTTTCAAAGAATGGAATAGCTCAGCCCTAGTTTTCTGATTGTACCTTTTTTTTCCCTTTTAATATTAAAAAAATGTGTAGAAAGCACATACCATAAAATTTATCATTGTAATTATCTTTTTTTTTAAATTTTTTTTTTCAACGTTTATTTATTTTTGGGACAGAGAGAGACAGAGCATGAACGGGGGAGGGGCAGAGAGAGAGGGAGACACAGAATCGGAAACAGGCTCCAGGCTCCGAGCCACCAGCCCAGAGCCCGACGCGGGGCTCGAACTCACGGACCGCGAGATCGTGACCTGGTTGAAGTCGGACGCTTAACCGACTGCGCCACCCAGGCGCCCCTCATTGTAATTATCTTTAAATGTACAGCTCAGTCATAGCAACTGCATTCGCAAAGTTGTGCAACAGATCCCCAGAACTTTGAAAATCCATACCTGTTAAACAGCAACTCCGCATCCTCCCCCTCCCTCTAGCCTGTGGTGACCACATTCTACTGCTTTAAATACCTCATAGAAGTGGAATCCTATAGGGACGCCTGCGTGGCTGGTCAGTCAAGCATCTGACTTCAGCTCAGGTCATGATCTCGTGGTTCGTGAGTTCGAGCCCCACATTGGGCTCTGTGCTGACAGCTTAGAACCTGGAGCCTGCTTTGGATTCTGTGTCTCCCTCCCTCCCTCTCTCTCTCTCTCTCTCTCTCTCTGCCTCTCTGCCCCTCCCCCACTCATGCTCTCTCTCTGTCTCAAAAGTAAGTAAACATTAAAAAAAAAAAGAAGTGAAATCCTATGGTATCTGTCTTTCAGTGACTGGCTTATTTCACTTAGTACAATGTCTGCAAGTTTCATCCATGTTGTAGCCTATGTCAGAATTTTCTTCCCTTTTAAGGCTGAATAATATTCCATTGTAAACACACACCACCTTTTTATCCATTGATGGACATTGGGGTTGCTTCCCCTCTTAGCTATTGTGACTAATGCCGCAACGAACATGGATGGGCATCTGGCTGTCTCTTCTACTACAAGTACATTAGAATTATTTAAAAAAATTTTTTTAATGTTTTATTCATTTTTGAGACAGAGAGAGATAGAGCGTGAGCAGGGGAGGGACACAGAGAGAGCGAGACACAGAATCCGAAGCAGCTCCAGGCTCTGAGCTGTCAGCACAGAGCCCGACGCGGGGCTTGAACTCACTAACCGTGAGATCTTGACCTG